TTATTTTTTTCTCTATAAATCAACAATGTACTAAAAATATTTACTTCAAATTTGATAAATTTAATTATTATCTAAAATTTTTAATCAAACTTGAGAAATCATTTTAGTTTGTATATTTACGCATCTAATTTTTTAGCAGTTAATTAATTTTCAGTACATAAATTTCAAGTAATTGTTGATATTTTAGGCCGGAGATTATATTTTGGTACACGGTGAAATGGATGAGGATCAATTTTATCGTGGAGAAACTTTAGAGGGTGAAAAAGGTTTGATACCATCGAATTACGTGGAAAGGGTTGACGAGCGTCAATTGCTATTGAATGCGTCTAGAGCACCATCACCATCTTTCCCGTTAAATATACCTCAACATCTAACCAAAATTCAACACGATTTTTCCACGTCAACTCCTTTTGCTGCTTCAACCATTGCTGCAACTTTACAATCGTCAACAGCTTCATCACTGCCCGATTCTGTTTGCCCATACCCTCCTGTTGACGTTACTAAAGTTACAGTGCAAGAAGTGAAGATTACTGATAATCCACGTGGTTAGTCGTATTTTTTATGTATTCATTTTGAAACTTTTGACAAGATTTTCATATAACTGCAGATGAACTTACTATCCTACTAACGAATAATTTTTCACATATAAAAATTATATCTAATACCATTTTCAAGGAAATTTATCCAGTCAAGAGAATCTGAGAAAGCATATCTAACATATTTTTCTGAAGTGACAAAATTAAAAGGTTCTATCTAATTTTTACTTCTATAAAAATGTTAATAAAATGTTAATGCTATCAGTGCTATTCCAGAATGCCAACTTTTTCAAATTGTTATTTTGACTGAAACTTTGTTCGACTTCGCTTTTTGACAGGAATTAGTAATCGTTAACTAATAATTATTAACTTGTTCAATCAAAAGTCCATGTACACAATCTCTTCTGAAGCATAAATTTTTATTAATAGCCCTTGTTTTGTTTTCTATTTATAAATATCTTTGATTATACATCGAGGTTTTAGATGCTTCATGATAAATTAAATAATAAAAAACTGAATTATTTTGATTTGATTAAATTTTACACAATAAATCATCATAATGACTGATACTTTTGATTCACTTTCATTACTTTAATGTTTCACATTTTTTAGAATAATGTGAAGAAAAATACTGTAAGTTTATTATCGTTGCAAGTTGACTACATAGAAAATGATGCAAGCATTGAAAAAAATTATTATTTTGTTGTTTAATTTCTTTTGCTAATTTCAGCACTATGAGATTTGCTATGTTAAATCAATGAGGAATACCATTTATTAGTTTTTCCTCACACTGTGAAAATTTCGAATCAGCCTAAAATTGCTTCTGTAGTTTTTTGCAAATTCAATGGAACAATAATTTTTTTCTTAAAAGCAATATGAATGATTTTACTTGAACATTATTAAAAAGTCAAAAGTATGCTTTGGCATTTATGCTAGATAATTAATCCTTACATGTACTGTATAAACTAATTTAGCCTTTTTTCATTAATGCAATTAATGCATTAATTTAGTTAGTTGACCATTTAATTGTTTTATTTTTCTGCAAATATCTTTTGGATTTTTTTTTTTTGAGTTTTATTTAGCTTTAACGAACAAAAATTATATTATGTAAAGAATTATATATTTTGTTTATTTCCTGAAATATACAAATTAAATAAGAAAAAACTGTATCAAAAATAGCTTGCCTCAAATGATAGTAGTATAAGTCATCTATAATGCACTTGTACAAATTATGCAAAACTATATTCTGTTCTGATCTAATTTGATTTTTTCTGGTCTAATGCAAACATAATTTATTGATCATTTTGTTTATTTATTTCTAGTTATTTACTCATTAATTAATTAATTAATCAATTAATTAATTAATTATCCACTATTTATCTATTGCATTACTAACTCAGAAATTTAGCATTAAATAACAAGTACTGTGCAATCCCAAAAGGACAAACAACTCTCATGTGATATCGTAAATTAGTTTTCACAACAACAAACGCGCTTTTTGCCGATTCTTTGTGAAGAAGTTTGATTTGCGTAAGGCATTCACATTTGTCAGAAATGACCACAAAAATGATTTTTAAGCAAAAACTAAAAACAGCCAAATGCTTAGCTTATAATAGTGTTAGACAAGGCATTTTGCTTTTAAGTAAGCATAAAAATTGACTAAAATTATTGATTTAAGGCAGAATTTTACTAAGATTATATTTAGCTTTTCTAAGGTGCCAATAATAAATATTACACTTTTATGGAATTTTTTTTTGATTCACCCGAAATTCAATTGCACTTTGCAATTTTTTTATCCGTGAAAATTTTATTTGAACAGCAAAAATCATAATTCTGTGACAAAATATAAATTTAGAACTTAAATACTTAAATTTTTCGCAAATATTGCACTGTAAATATATTAAATTAGCGTATGTTACGTCAATAATAGAGCACTTTGTTACCGGGCTTAATATCAATATTGTTTGCAAATGCGGATTACACTTATGCAAATAATGCTTTTTATTGTGCGTGAAAAGTTTTCATTACAATAACATAGATAGAATACAATAATAAAATATCGCTTGGTTATATTGAATCGTTTTATGACTTCAAATTCGCCACAAACTAATTAAATAATAGTAATAGCTTTTCTATCAACGTGCGAAATTTCTACAAACATTTTAGTTCATTTAGCACTATTATCGTTTTAATGATGAGTCAGAGTTGGAAAAGTTTGTGTTGAATCCCCTGCAGTGAAATACAGTTGTGCTTGAAGCTAGTTAGCTAGCTTAATCATCTTAAAGAAAACCAGTAATAAAAAAGAACGAATTTGAAATTTTTTTTTGTCACTGAGAATTCGCATACATTTTATATTTGATGAAACCATTTCTATTTTTAGATTAATTAAATTATCATCATTCAGTTTTCAGAATGAAAGTGAAGAACTAGAAAGGGTCGTATCTTGCATTCTAAAAAAATTTGCCTCATTTCTTTACAATATATTATTTTTTATTGCAATAAAAATAGATGAAATTTGAAAATAGCATCAGTTTTATACATTCATCAATTCAGATTCCATCGTTATTTTAGTTTGCTTCTTCGTTTGTGGTTTGTGCTGAAAAGTAATGCTTTATATTAAAGGCTCTAGTTCAAGCTACAGTACTTGAGTAATATTGTGACGGTAGTCGAAAGTTATAATAAAATGCAAACTTGAATTCCTCCTCCTTCCATCCAAAATGATAAGTAATGAAGTATAAGCTCTTACAACCTACTTTTTTATTTTTTTCCATTGAATAAAGTAGGAGTAATATTGCAAAAAATAAAAAAGATGAATAATGGCTTAAGGATATAAGCCAAATTTGAACATTTCTAAGTTACTTCTAAGACTACTCTTACTTACCGGTTCTAACTATCAAACAACAGCAAAAAAAGCACTGAATAATTGGTCTAAGGCTTATCTTTTTTGCATGCTTATATGAATATACAAATACACATGCAAACAAAAAGCTTAAGTTCTTTTAGAATAAATAATTTTAAGAGTAAAATACTTAAAAGAGACTTAAACAGGATATTTGGTTTTAAAATGTGACTGATAGTTTGAAAAAAAATCAAACAAAAAATTAATAAATTATGTTTAAAAAATTTTTTTATTTCTTATTCTCTTATATTTTCACGAAAACAAACTTAAGCCAAAATAAAAAGAATATAAAGCAGAAAATTTTTAGAAAAATATTTGTTTGAAAAAATTAAATTTCTTTTTCGAGAAAGAAAATTTGTAATTAAGCATTTATATTGTACAGCATTTTTCACAACTATTTTCGCAAAAATTTTGGAAACGAAATTGGGAGCAGTACTGGGGAATTATTTATTCATTATGGGAATTGATTTCGTCTAGAACTTAATGTGTAAAAAGCAGAATGAAATTAAAGATTAAGACAGCAGTTTTTTTTAGTTTGATTTCTGTTGAATAATTTAAAGAGTACAATAAACGATACCAGAAACTATCGAACATTTTCAAAGATGGCTTCTTATTTGTTAATTGGTCTGATAAGTTTCACTGTTTATATAAATTATGCTGATCATATAGATCAGATCACATGTATTGTCCTGATTATATGAATATTTTTCAGTGCCTTTCCCACGGGAATTAACGATAGAGAAAAAGTTGAGTCGTAGTTGCGTGATTTCTTGGTCAGTACCTGACGACTTGCTTACGCCAATTTCTCAGTATCACGTGTGCGTGGAAGGCATTGTCCGGGCTGTAGTACCAGGATCTTTTAAATGTAAAGCACTTATCGAAGATGTTGACTTCTCACGTGCACTTAATGTATCTGTACGTGCTGTTACCGAAAGTGGTCACAGTCCCGATGCTGCTTGCACTATTTCTATCGGAAAAGGTTCACAGAAACTTTACAAATCTTTTACTCAAGAAAAAAAATAGTTATTTTTTAATTTTTTGTTAAGCACAAAGTTATTTTCACTACCCAAAATGATTTTTTTTGAATTTGTTTTTATTTTTAAACCATATTATTGAAATTAAATACTTTGACTCTTCATTTTGCATGAAATAATTTATTTTGTATTTTATTATTTCAGATGCACCTGTAGCTCCACAGCACGTACGTGTTTGGTCTATCACACCAATTGCTGCTTGCGTTTCATGGTATCCAAGCGATAGTAACGCGGAACACGTAATTCTGCTTAACGCAGTAAAAGTAGGAATGTGCCCTCCTTCTGTCTTTCAGGTGATTGAATTTTTCTAGCAAAGAAAATTTTAATTACACAAATTCAAAAGAGATAATTTTGCTTACAAATTTGAAAAAAGCTTTTTGATTTTTGATTACTTAAATGAACAGTTGAATGATACTTTATCTGCATGAATAGTAAATTATATCAACTAATTTCATACACACTCTATTTTTAATGATTATAAAGTTCGAAAAGGTTTTTCATTTTCTTTTATGCTTCTTTGCTATAATGAAAAGTTACTAAAAAGTAAAAACTTTTATTTTGATTTTTATGTTAGTTTGCTTATAAATTGTGCTTGAGGAAATTTGCGCTTTCAAATAGAAAAAATGTTAAACAATAAGTTTGATTAATTAATTGATCACTTTATTATTGTGGCTAAAATATCATTTTTGATTCGCAAAAATGAAATATTTAATCTTAATTTGTCATGTACTCGGTCTACTTAATTTGTAGGTACGATTAAACGGTTTGTCACCTTCAACAATCTACCGTGTTTCTGTACGCACTAAGCATCCCAAAGCTGTGCTGGAACAACGTCCTGTAGAACGCTGTTACGATTTTAAAACGCTGCCAAAAAGTTTATTTTTAGCTATTTTGTGTAAAAATATAATATTATTAATTTTATTCTGATTATTTTGAAGTTCAAGTCTTATTTAGCAGCATGTAATGCTCTATTTCATTATAAACGTGTAGTAATGTGTAATTTTTGGAAATGATAATATCTGTTTTCATTTATATGAGGACATAATAATATTTTGAAAGGTTTTTTTCCGGCTGCATGGGAATAAAAATTGAAAATATTTTAGTCGGTCTTCCTGATGCACCTTCTAATGTACAAGTTGAAATGGGTCCACAGCCGGGAACTTTGTTAGTTTCTTGGACACCAGTGACCACTCAACCTTTGCCACCATCTCGTGCCGCTGTACATTCCTATCTCATTTACGCCGATGGACGTAACATTGCTCAAGTACCAAATGTAAATGGTAAATAAAATATACAATACATTTTTTAAATTTGTCACAAATCAGTAATAATTTTATAATTCTGGAATATTATTATTTCAGTTTATTATTCATTTAATATGTAAAATTCCTTTTGCAAATAATTATCATATGATTGAAGGATAAACTAAAATCATCTTTGCTATAAGAATTTAAGATTATAGCATTCACTTTAGACATTTTTAATTTTTTTTGATTTCAGGAAAGAAATTAAAAAAAATTCTGTACAAATAAATATCTAAGAAAAATTTATTTTCAGAAAACGCAATATTTGAAAAAAGCGAGCAAAATTCAATATTAGATATCTTTCAATTGTCAATTTTCATATTATTCATCGAATTTAATCCTTTTTCTACTATGAACTTCAATTTTTCCTGCTAGATAATCCATCCCAAAGGCATAAATATTTATTTATTTTATTTATCTGTTTATTTATTTATTTATTTATTTATTTATTTATTCATTTATTCATTCATTCAATATATAACAGTAAGAAACATCCATCCAAAATTATGAATGGTCAAAACATTTAAATTGTTTGAATTTAAAAGAATATAATTTTGTAGAGAAGAATTTTATCTTTTTGACTTTGTTTTTCAATCAAAAATAGTTGCTTATTTTGACTTCAAAGTTAATTTCTAATTGCTTTAAGAAATGAAAAGTTTCAGTAAAGTTCAATGATATTTACTTGCAAAAAAATTTGTGGCAAATGCCTACAATTTGTTTAAAAAGTGTGAGGGAAATTAATTGTTTGCAATGAGTGAACGAACGATTTGACAAGCAAAAAACTTTATATTATCATTGATTTTTGCATTTTATATGGCAGTTTATTCTATCTCTTTTTATTATTTTTTAGTGATAAAATTGATAACAATGAAATATTAGCAAATTATCATAGATCAAAGTTGGGATAATTAGCATATATATCTAATTACTGAATAAGTATGCATACAAACTACTCCTTCCTGCTAGAACTCTATTTATTTCGAGATTGATTATTCAATATTGCATTTCTGAGCAGTTTAATTTTATTTTTGTTTTTTCTCCTTGAAAAACTTTTCACTTTTTTATTATTTGTTTTTAATTAATAATACAGAAATGAGAGGAAGAAAATTGCGTGCATCGAAGATGTTCTTAAGATTTTTTGCAGATGAAAGAATATTTATAATTTTGGATTTAGTCAGTTCTTTTAAAATATGAGACAAACTTTCAGCTAAAAAGTGCTTAATGAATTAAATATGATTGAAAAAAGGAAAGTGAATGCTTTAGATGGAAAACGTTTTAACTTTTCACTCACTAAAGGACGCTATTTTCAAATATAATTGGAAAAAAAGACGGGAAACGCAAAAGATTCTCAAGAGATTTGAGATGGCTTCAGATATACTCTCTTCACCCGCTGGCTTCTTGCACTTCACTTCACTTTTCATTTTCAGTTTCAGTTTCAGTTTCAGTTTCATTTTAATTTTCTACGCATAACCAACCTTCAAACTACTAAAAAATTTTCCGATGAAGAAAAGTATTATGTGTGCGAAAGAATATATGATAATACTAAAAAAATTGCACTCTCAATAAATTTATTTGTAGGAAACATTTTGATTATAATTATAATGTTATGATTCAATGTTTCATATTATTAGCGCTATTTTGCTTGTAAGCAGTAATAATAAAAATGATTCTAATACTATTATTGATTACATGATATTAATGTAATTACTAAAAGCTTAATACATGTTTTCTGGATATCAGAAGAAGCACATGATCTTGCAAAGGAAAACGTATTAATTTTTAGTTTCAATTTAATTGTAGGATAAATGAGTCGTCATTTTCAAGTAATTTTTAATTATTTTATGATAAGAGAAATGAACAAGCAATAGTTTAATCGAAATGGACGTGAAAATTTTGACTGACCATATTGTTTTTTAAAATGAAATGTTTTCTGAAATAATTTTCTAATTTCATAGTAACAGAAATTACTCTAAAGAAAGTTTTTGATAATAATTTCAATGACTTTTCAAATGAGTGCGAGGCGATTTATAGATTCTAAAGTTTTCATTGCAAATAGTTATTCTAATTATTGATGTGAGTAAGTAATTTCAGCAGATCATGTGCTCCTTCGTTTATCCGATTTTGTGGATGATCCACCAATTTTTATAACTGTTCGAACGAGGACCAAAGAAGGTGCTGTCTCATCAGATTCAAACGTTTCTCGTGTGCCACGTGGTATTGTTGGTAACACTGATCTTACCAACCGTGTCACTACACTTGGCATACCACCTAATTCTTTACATTCGGTACCATCAATAGCTCCTGCTAGTTCACAATTAGTATGATTTATATTTTTTCATACTGAATTTGATCACTTTAAAATACAGTAATATATTCATAAATTATCAGCATCTCTCTGTGCAAGTACTTTGTGTGAAATTAACGCAAACAAACTTAATTTACTTGTAAAGTTGCTATAAGCATTCACTATCTATGCAAATTCTTTTTTCAATTGTTTTAGTGCTTTAATCAAAGTGTGTGTCTTTAAAATCTAAATAATTCAGGACTGAATTGTATTAAGGCTGAAAAAAGATCATTAATCAACTAATTACATTTATTCATAAATTTTATTTTGACTAAAACCATTCCAAAATTTACTATTATCCTACAGTTTATTAAATATTTTCGAGCTCTTCCATAATGAAATAACAACTTTAGAAGCACAGCAAAATTATTGAAGGCAGAAATTTTATTGATAAACACTTTGTACTTTCAAAGCTTTGTTAGCTAAAACTAATAGTCTTATTATTTTTATGGATGTAATATTTGAGGAAATAATGTATATCATAAACACATCTCAAAATAGTGTATTTGAGGTACCATCATTGGTATCAATGAATATGTCTGGTGTACCAGGGATAGTACCGACCTCAACAAGTATTCTTCAAACTGCTCAGACAACTGTTCCTGTTAGCACCTTAATGAATAATTCTGCGGCTATGGCGCAATCAAGTACTGCACCTTATGGTACTTCTCATCAACCAATACCTGATAGATATTATACTGCACACTTCAAATCACCAATATTAATAATATTTATTATAGTCTGATCATTGTAGTGAAGGATCAATAAGTAATTATAAATAAATCGCAAAGATCTGTGAACTTTGCTGGGCAAAAGTTTAATGAATGATATAGATGTTAAATTTTAGTAGTCTACAGAAAAGAGCGGTAAAAGTGATGTTCTAGGTTTTTTCATTAAACCGTTAAACAGAGCTTAATTTAATCAGTTTTAGTTGCAACTTTTATACAAAGCAAAAGTATTAAGTGACTTATTTATTTCTGCTGTCTAGGCATTTAGGTTCAGATCAAAATCAAGTTGATGTATGTGAATTAGTACAAAGTTGTGATATAGGTGCAACTGCTTCTGGTATCGGTCTTGGGATTCCTGGTGCCAGTAGCAATATCCCTGGTAGTAGTCTACTGACAATCGGTGGGCAGCCTGCTACATTTGGACCTAATTCAGTAGCAAATGCATTAAATCCTTATACTGCGGCAGGTGTACCTGCTACCAATAATCCTTTATTCAGTGCCTCAGGAAATGGAAAATTTGCATATTCCACCACACCCGGAATATTGTACGATGGCTTACTGAAAAATTATCCATTACCAAGCACACTTCATGAGGTCTTTCTTTAATTTTTTCATTGTTTATCAATATTAAGGTTATAAAATTTGATAGATTATTAATATAATAATGGTAACATGCCAATCATGACCGCAATTACATTTTACTTTTATAATTAGCTATGTAATTATTACATATACTTTGACATGTCTGTATTTGGCAATTATAATATTTTATCAACAATTATGACATCTTTCATAAAAAAAGTTCATATTCATTGTGATTGTTTTCTGTTTATTACATATAAAATGTTAATAAAATGAACTTACAAAATTAGCTAGTTGAATTAAACATAATTAAAATTCAGTATTGTCTGTACAGTGTATACATAATGCAATATTATTAAATTGAATTTATGACTATTTCATGGGCCATCAAATCACTTTGATAGATTTACAAATACTATTTGAGTAAATATCTTTATGCCCTCACTAATACAAGAAAGTGTTTTATCTGTACTAATACAGCCACTTAAATATTGCAATTAAATTGAAAAAAACTTTAAATTGTAATTGGCAGCAAATTTAAGAATGCTAACATGAGAATTCAGGAAGTGACAATATGATAGCTAAGAAGTGCTTGTTCAAATATTATTAATTTATAAGGAATATTAGTGCTATTTCATTTATTTCGATTTACGTTTAATTTTACCTTAAGCTATTTATGATTCGTATTGAATTTCATACTTTTGCACTTTTTTTCGCTTTGAATTTTGACTAAATTTATTTTGAGCCTGTAAACAAAGCAATTAAATAGCTTTACTTATTGAGTAATCGAAAAGTATAACTCCAAACTATTTGCTAGCCATTTGTTAACTTTTTTAATATTGCTTCTTTAGTTTGTGACAAACACAAACTTAAAAAGCAGCGTAGACAAAGTTAAAACTTTTTTGATGCTCAATTCCAAAAAACCACATTTTTATTATTATTTAATTAAAAATTTATTTCTTGCTATGACTTTATTTTGAATTCAAACGTTCTGACTGTATAAAACACATTGCTTTTATTTTGAACAAAAGTTCATGGAAAAATTGTTTTGCAGTTATTAAACAGTTAAAATTAATGTAAGCTTTCTCGAAAAATTAGCAGTAAGGCAACAACCATGATTTCACATTACTTTCTTCCGAAAATTAACAAAAAATTTAAATCATCTCAAGTTTGATATATAAAATTTCTGATATTAATGCATTTGAAGCAGTGGAAAACGCAAAATCAGTATTATACTTTCCATCCACGTGCGTTACGTCGTGAACCTTCAACAACTGAAGAAAAACCAAGCGTTCTGGAAATGGAACATAATTACTTGTTGAAACATCGGGTTCAACCATGGCCACAAGCAGCTCAAAATTCCCGAGCCAGGTGATATGATCTTTTTATTTAATAATTTAAAAAATTTTTGACTTTTAAAATTTTACATGAATATTTGTGGACAGAAAACAAAGTACATACGACAATTTTGCTTGATTTTGTTTGGTATTGAGAAGAAATTGTTTCGGGCAAAGGTTAAAAGTTAAATTCAACAAACTACCATAAAAATAACAAATATTTAAGACAAAATCTCACTTTATTACCACTATTATTACTATTATTATTATTATTATTATTATTATTATTATTATTAGTTTGTTGTTTTGGAGATATAATTTATGTCGTAATAAAAAGATGAATTAATTGAGCAGAAATTTTTGAGGACAAAAATAACGATTCACAATTCATTATGATTTTTATTATAAATGCATTATTTTGGGAGAGTTAACTGTTTGAAATTAAATATTTTTGCTAATAATATGCGCAGAACAAAATACTGTAATTCATGAATAATATATTTCCAGTTTCTTTATTGCATTTTTTGAAGTATTTTTTGATGTTTCTTGTACATTTAAATAATTTTCCCAGCGCATTAATGGTATTTCATTCCATTTTTTAAATTAATGTCCTAGCTTTATGTTTATTTCGTGTAAAATTTTAATAACTTATAGTCTTAGCACAAAAAGCTTTGGTCATAGCTGAAGTAATTACTAAACTGCAAACTTTTCTGAGAATTCTCGCAAATTTTTAAATTAATAATTATTGTAAAATAATAGCAAACAAATGCATAATATTAAAATATTATGACAGCAAATACATAACTTTTTTAAGTGAGTAATCAGAAAAGAAATGGGCATGGGCAATTTCTTGCAAATTTTAATGCGGAAAAGAAATAAGTAGCAATTGACATTATAAAAATGAGTAAAAGTTAATTAGAACATGACTCGAAATGCTTATTACTTCGATAAGTAATACTTGAAATGCAAATTATCATCACTTCAATATTACTACGGTAAAAAAACAGAAGTAATAATAAATTGTGCACCAATACTAAGTGTAAAACACAGTTAGAAATTCGTTGCAATAAAGAAGAGTATAAGATAGAAATATGCTTGCAAAATTCAAGTCAGAAATGTCAGATATCAAAAGTATGAGAAAAAATGACTCTGAAGTGGACAAGTGTGAATGAATTATGCATATGTTAAAGACACACGCATTAAGTATATTCTATATTTTTAAAGATTTAGAAATATCTCTAAGAGAAGTAATCATAAAGGCTTAAGAATATATGCTAGCTATACTTTGAAAAGTGTTCTAAGACTTGAAAACAAAAAAAGCAAATATGAAAAAAAAGAAATTATTGACAAATCAAATAGATGGAGTATAATTAAGTATATGGAAAAATATGAAAATGAAATGAAAACAAGCACCAAGCATTTTAGACTTAGACTTAGACTTAGACTTAGTCTTCGTTGGTTCTGCCATATTTGTTTGTATTGCATCTTTTAACGTCTTTTTATGCCTGAATTAGCTGCAAATAAGAACGGTGTAAACTTAAGCGTAAATAAATGCTATCTCTTTTCTTCCGCAATAAAATAAGTCAGTCAGCTTTGAATAGTGTTCCTTCCTTCAATGCAAATATAATAAATATTATCTAAATTACGCAGCTTATATTACTTTTTTAATTGTTTAAGCTATACTACATTAACTTTTTACCACACAAATGAAATTAAATCACAAACTTTTTACCACTTACTTCTTGCAGATTTGAGCATTATCTTCGAAGTCATACTGATGATCGATCAGGACGATTTGTAGCAAATTTCCCCGCTCGGACACCGAATCCTTTATCAGTACCTGTTGCACGTATACGTAGTGAAGAAATTTGTAGTACTAGAAGTGAACCTGACCTTCGACCTATGGCACTTGATGACTTTTTTTCTTGCAGGTCATGCTTAGTGTTTTTTAAATTATTTAAAGTAAAATGCGAGTATATTTTGAATTAAAAATTTGTATAGCTTGGATTAAATATCATGTTGAACCTGAGATTTACTTAGGAGAATATTTACAAAAGGGAAAAAGAATCTCATTTATTTAAATTAATTAAAGATTAAACCCTAAAATTTTACAACAAAAATAATTCAAACAATTGAACATAATACTAGCAATCTTTATAATATCACTTTGATTACAAATCTGTATAAACTTGAAAATTATTATAACAGGTGGTTTGTGGCTTTATTTGATTATTCACATCACATGAGCCCAAATGCAAATGCCGAACAAGAAGAATTATCATTTCGAAAGCACCAACTTATTAAGGTTTGAAGTTACTTAATTCTGATTTTAACTATTACAGACTTGATCAAATCATAAGTATAATAATTGATTGAATATAGGTTTTTGGTGATGTCGATCAGGATGGTTTTTATACTGGGCAAATTGGTCATAGAATTGGATTGGTACCATCCAACATGGTAATTGAAATAGCAAAAGATGATTTAATGCCACCACCAAGACGACGATCAGATGCTGCAGCACCGTTGGAACCGTCACTGAGACGAATGCGATGGGGTTCATTAAAATCAAGAAGTTATGATCATGCTGGAGATCGCCGACCACCACGTTATAGGTAATAAATCATAACAATTATGTCAATATTGTGTAGCAAAAATGTATTTTTGAGAAATTAATTTATTTTGTGAAAATATTTTTTACAATCATATAATATTACTATTGTTGTGTTGAATCTTATAATGATTATCTAATGCAACCATATCAAGAAACAACGTATTATTTAAAGGATGTTAACGATGGAAAGTGGTGATCAGTATTCATCAATGGATCGACGTGATCATTCTTTACCTAATAGACCAGGTGATTACTTTTCACCACCATCATTTAGACGTAATATTGTGGGTGATTATGGACCAGTATCGACAAGAAGTGAATATGCTGGAAGAGGTGCAAGTGGTGATGAACATGACATGTATCTTCCGTCAAATGGAAGACATCAACGAGATTATTATGGTTACTCACGTGAGCACAGGTTTGAACTAATAATTTGGAACCAATTTTTATCAATTAATTGATAAATCTTGCTTTTGAACCAAATTCTAATAACAGTTAATACCATTAAATTGCTATAAACCTTAAGAGTAATTGTTTGACATTTATATTGAATATTTTCCAAGATATCTGATGATTTTTAATGGTGACATTTTTAGATCACGTGATACAGCAGAACGAGATCGCAGGGATTATTATGTTGATGAAAGAGATTTAGTAGAACGTGAAAGACAAGAATTGTACGAATCAGAAGGATCTCGAGATCTAAGAGAACGAGATTTGCGCGGTGGTTACCGTGATGTACGTGAAAATCGAGAAACAAGAGATTTTCGAGATTTTCGAGATGCAAAATACCAACGTGAACAAAGTTTGGGAAGACGAGAACGGGATTATGCTGATGAACATGTTGATCACAGGATACGAGATTATAGGTGATTGAGAAGAAAATGTCGAAACTGATTAAATTAATGGATGAAAATGCGAGAATTTGAAGTTTTTTGATTGATATATGAAAATTGTTTAATAAAAATAATGCAAAGTTAACAACGATTAATTTCAGAGATACGCGTGAATACAGGGAACCTCGGGAAATGGGTGATTTCAGAGATATGAGAAAGGAACGCGAACGTGAAGCAGAACAAATTGCTAAAGACCCAAGGAGTTATGATAGAAGGATGGATTACGGTAGATTAGAAAAAGCTCCTGTTCCGATGCGGGAATACGGTATGCCGAGTGGTGGTGCTCAACCGTATTACCCGCCTGAAAACATTGCATCTGTCGAGGATTTAAGGTAACTCTCCGTGGTTCATATTCACGTTGAATCGTTTATAATTACGTTTAATACATCATATGACGTCAAATATTTTGTTCTTCACGTCAAATCTTTTTTTATTCTTGTAATGCTTTCGGCTTTATTGCAAATAATTAGTTTCTGCCTCACTGATGTATTTATGTCAAGAATATTTAAAAGCGTAACATCTAGACATACTGTCAAAATATTTTTTAAGTAATTTCACTTTGTAATTTTATTGGGAAGAAAGTAAGATGAATTCCGAAAAGTCAATGAATTTATAGAGAAAATACCAATACTTTAAATCTTTTTACTTGTAGAATAACATTAAGAAGAAATAGACCAAAAATATTGGCAGTGAATTCTAAAATTTTGAACCTTTAATGGAATGAAACTCGTAGTTGACATTGAAAAATCATGGACCCATCAGCATTTACTCTAGATAAATACTTTTTGTAATGATCCTATAAATACCTCATCTGCAATCTTATGAGGAAAAAAGTTATCAATACATTTTAATACAAGTAAAAATCTATTCCACTTCTCACTACATCATTTGTTTTATGATTTCTAATTTTTCAATTATATTAAAACGTTTAAAATAAAGCCATAAATAATCATCTCAAGTTTATTCAAATTTTATTACTTTTGTTATTTATTGATTGCCTCTCAGAAATCAGACATTTTAAATTGTTCAAATACCTATATTGAGCACTTATAATCTCTTAAGGCATGGAAGAATAAACGGTGATATAATAGTACGGAAATTTATTGCTAAATTTGATTACGATTCCCGTCAACTTAGTCCAAATGTTGATGCTGAACAAGTAATTCTTTTGTTTTTCAAAAAATAAAAATTTTGCAAATCAAATAGGATGAATTTATTTTTGACATGTTTTTGAAAGAGCAAATGAATTAGAGCTGCTTTGTTCTTTGTCAGTAGCATAAGTGTGTGAAAAGTAAGACCAGTGATAATTCCAGGTTGAGTTATCCTTCCATGCCGGAGATGTTATTACAGTATACGGTGAAATGGATGAGGATGGCTTTTTTATGGGTGAACTGAATGGTATTCGTGGTCTAGTACCATCGAATTTCCTGCAAGCTTCAGCACCGAATTCTTTGATGCCTTCTCACATGCCTTCTCAGCAATTACAACAACAACAATCCTCAGAAGCAGTGCCTTCTATCACAATTCCTGTTCCAGATCAACAAACCAAACCAAAAGGTGTTGCCTTCCAGGAAAATTCCAAAAAGGTTATTATTATTTTATTAATCTCATTTATCATTTCAGTGATTCAGTTATTTTTATTTTGGAAAAGAGAATGTTACTTTCAAAGTTCTGCGTGTGAAAGCAAATATTAGCTACTAAGAATCAAAAATATTCACTCCTAAATTTATTTGTGAGGCAGCTTTAGTTGCTGATAATATAAAAAGTAAAGCTATTAAACAAATGCTAATAAATGGTAACTTTCAGCCATTACTAGGAAGGCAAAGTAGCCAGATATCATCAGCAACTAAAGCTGCCTCACAAATGTCCATGAAGTCAAAAACTGGAGCCACATTCTCTAGCCAAAAATCACTGGTGAAGAAGCAAGCTGAAGCTGGTTCTAAGTCTTCAATAAGTCCCAGAAAACCATCTCAACCTAATAAAAAAGAAACTGGCTCTAAGGTTATTATTACTGCAATATTTGATGATGACAAATTACTAATCATGTGCAAATCTAATGATCAAGTTTTCGCTTTACCATAATCTTATCTACACTAATAATTATTTGAGATTTTGCAGAAAAAATCATGAAATATATGACAATTCCTGCACATGGGAGCCGGCACTTTTCATTTCGACTTCCGGTTTCAACTATTGCAAAATCAAAAAACGGCTTATTCTTATGTTAAAACAAATAAATAGCCAAGTGACAAGTGACTAATCATTACATTATTTATTATAAGCATTACCATTATTATTATTAGTTATTATCATTATTATTATTACTATTATCACAATTAATATGATTGTTAAGTCGTTGGAACACATGAAGCTACTAGTTACTATGAATTTATAATTTATTGAATAATTATTGAACTTTTTTTCAGTTTAAAGGTGTCTTCGTAAGATACCCTCTGCATTTGTTAATATTGCATTGAATGACACGAGTGCTGCTAGGGTTTTTCTTGCAGTAAAAGATGTTTTGGTGTATTGGTTTATTGGTATGATTATATGCATGATGCTTGCAATCTAATAAATATTGATAGTGTGGCCAAAATGATGTAAACATCTGAACGACAAATAAGTTAAGACGTGAGGTATACGAGCATACTTAAGACGTTAAAACAGATGTACAATGTATGAAACCATTTTCAGTGTTTTGCAAGCACAAGTCTTGTATTTTCTAATTTTTTGAGTTGGTGATGAGATCAAGATAGACATCAGGTTGAGCGTCTAGATGAAGAAAAAGAGTGAAAGAAGACGATCAGGGAAAGAATTTCAGGCAAATTTGCTAAAAAACAGTAATGAATACGATGTGTTGTACTTCTTTTCGACTTTCTTGAATAAAGAAATGGATTGGAAAGATTTGCTGAAAATTTCCCATCAAACCAATCCACTTTCATGCTGGTGCATCGAAATTCTCAAGCATCAAACTACACTACAAATTAATAAAAGTATTTACGCATAAAAATTTGAATAAAAATAGAGTTTATCAATTCAAAAAGATTGCTCATATTCAAAATAGCAGTTCTTAAGAAAAAGCAAAAACACAATCAAACACAACATGATAAACAAATTACCAATACAATAAATGCTCTTCATGCGACAACAATATTTACTGCTTATAAGAAAAGGAGATGAAAGCACGGAAAGGGCTAGTTTCAAAAACTATCTTAATGCATTTCATGAGAGTAGAAAACTGCTTGAAGCAATTTAACATCGCAAAAATTCATGATGCAGTATCAGAAAATTTGTCACTTAAACACCGTATTGTATATAAGTAAAATTGCATGTTTTTCAATAAATTTTATTGTGTTACTTTACTTGCTTTTCTTGAGCACTACGTAACTGCTGAATGAAATCGTAAAACTCAGATGAGGATAATCGAATATTACGTGATCTCAGTATTCCATCTTGAACTGTTCGAAATTCAATATTTACAAATATTTTGCCATAATTGTCAAACTTTTCGGATCCACTAACATTCACTGAAATTACGGCTTGTGAAAAATGTGATAAAGTAAGAAATGTGCATAGGATACAAAATAGGAGGAAGAAACTTCAGTTACTCTAACTAGTTCTATAGTTGAAACACTAAGTACAAAAAGTTCCAATTGACATGAATCGATCGCTTTTATGTTAGCATATCAAGAAACGACGAATTCCGAAATTTCTAGCATCAAACTACACTAAAAACTAATAAAAACTTTTATGCACAGAAATTTCTAATTACATATCAATAGTAAAGCAAATATCTTGTTAGATAAGTTTAATACTTTGAATGCAAAGGTACTCTTTTTCGTCCTGATAAAAAAGATCAAATACATGTCAATGCCTCATGCGCGCTAAAATAATGCAAGCCCTATTTGAAACTGTTTATGCCAAATAGTGGGGATAGCAGTTCGAACTGTTCAACTCGGTTTCTTACTTGAAGATTTTGAAACCAAAAAAATGATTCATACATCAAATTAGTACAAAATGATAACAAGTAGGCGATATTTTCAAAGTGAAATTTGTAAGTGAGACTGGAACGAGATCTGATTTCTTGGAAAAAAGTAGTCAAGCAAGAAATGATAAAAAATTAACCAGCAAATGCATATTTCACTTCTTCTAATGCTTCCATTTTCATGCAAAATCGTTGCTGAAAAACTGAAATTCCATAAGAAGTCAAACGTGATCTTAAACAGTTATTCCTAAAATATGTTAGAAACTGTGAGACGAAAGACGTAGCAACTTCATTCCTTCCAACATTGACAGAGATTCTAAAGTAATAATAACAACAAAATGAAAAAGGGAAGTTTCCGAACACAAAATTAAGAAATTTCTTTCGTATTAATCTAATGAAACATTTTTCAGTATCAAATTCATTCAGATAATAAAGTATTGAACAAAATTTTCTAGCATAAATATCAGTTATTCCAACTTATCAAAAACTATCTCTACAATTACGGAATGAAAAAATTAGAAGTTCACTTCAAACATTTCCCATTTTACAAAACTTCATGTTACATATTGTTGCATATACTGTCGATGCAACGAATCATCAACATGACTTTGAAATAATGCGTCCGAACTATGGGAAGATAAGACATAAGGAGAATCGTGAGGTACAGGTTTTAATGCTATTATCTTAAGGGATTTTTGAACTGAGTAATTTGAGTTATTCTTGTACTCATAGAATTATGCTCTAATATTTTTAGGCAGGAATACTTTTTGCTAAGTGACTTTCTTATAAAATATTGGAAAGAAAAAAGTACTGATGGCAGTGTTCAAATGCTGAGAGAACTTGGAAATAAGTATGATTAAAGATGATGAAGGATTATGCTCTCTAATAGTAAATTAACTACGCTGTCAGTTGTTGATGTGGAATGTATAGAATGGCAGTTAGACACTTAGTTGTAATTTGTCAGTAATTTTATGTAGAGCATTTTTAACTATTTGATTTAAAAATTTTCAGTGACAAGAGCTCTCTTAGTTTTTTAAATATATAAAACGAATGGTTGCAAAATATTCTTATCACTTTCCCACTGTTTGCAGTGCTTGTTATAAAACATAAGCATGAAAGGTGGTGTTTGTTGAACGGCTTCAAGTATAATTACTAGATAATTGCAGAATGGCCGTGAGACCAGGTTTAAGATGGTTTGCATCTCAACCTGTATCGAGCTTGCTGCAAATTAATCAGAATTTAAAAAATATACGAGTTCAGGTAAGTATTATGTGCATGTTATTTTTGTCTTAATATAATAATGTTAGTCCTCATCACAGTTTATTGGCTCACTTTTCATTCAGGTAAGTACCAGCACCACTCATCGTATTTCATAATATTATTAGGGGCTTTAAAAAAAATTAAAGTCTTAAGACTTTCTTTTTATAGTTTAATTTTCACTTATTTTACTTTCAAGTTTTTGAGGTAATACTCATTTTCAGGGCTGGGCACGACGAGTAGAAAAACGCGGGAATTTTTTATTTATTAAACTGAATGACGGACATTCAGTGAAAACAATACAAGCTGTCATAAGACGTGATATATGTCAAAAGGTACCTATTGGAAGTGCTGTAAATATTATTGGTGACTGGGTAGAAAGTGTCGGCAAGCAACAGAATATGGAGTTATTTGCAACGGAATGTGAAATTGTTGGGTTGCAGCGAAAATCGGTCGGTATCACTGATATACCTGTTACATATATTTTTGGTCACTGTGTTGGGTTCTGACATCTAGTTTTAAAAAATAAAGAGCCATCGTTATTTTACGTATAAATATGAGCAACTTGAATGTTGTTTCCACTTGCTATCATTATTATATAAAGCAGTTTGCAGTGTTTAAAAAATCTCACAACTTTATTTTCTAGGTGCTAGTCGATTAAATTGTTCGGTTCAAAAATTTAAAAGGTAATCATAAATTCTGCAGACTTTAGTTTTAAATACCGTCTTTAGTTCAATAATGTACCTTCCGAGCATAGTTATGCTGATGCAACCCGAAAAAAATATCACTTGCGTTTGAAATCTATGCCATTTGCATGTCTTCTACGCCTGCGATCTCATTTAGATCAACTTAGTCGTTCTTTTTTTCAGGTAAGACGGTATTTTAATTTGTATTTCATTTCATATTATTTTTTATTGTCAGTATTTTCACAAACATTAAATACAAAATTATATGTTAGAAATATGTAATTAATTGTGATAAGCACTGTAAATCAAAATGTGCTTGAGATTTTCCTACTATAGTATGTATGATCAGGCAAAGTGTGTCTCTAATAGTATGTTAATCTGCAGCTCGTATTTTTTAGGATAAAATGAAAATTAGAAGTTAATTTCAGAATCAATCATTTATACATGTTGATACTCCTCTTTTAACTCATAATGATTGTGAAGGTGCTGGTGAAACATTTGCTATTCAGGTATAAAAAAGTCCTTAAAGTAAATCTGGAGACTTTGTTGCATCGTTCTATTTGTAGACTTAAAATTATTCCACTCAATATTTTTACTTTTTATCAGTCATTATGCAGATTTAAGGTCGTGATAAAAAATCTGTGTTCTTCATAATCTCTATTTTCAGGCAGATCAAAAGAAATATTTCGGTGATCAGGCAGTTTTTTTGCCCGTTTCAAGTCAGCTATATTTAGAAGCTTTCATTGGGTGTGTAATTTCTCTTCTGTGAATGTTCAAATAAATGCATAAATTCATCGTTTTATTATTATCGTATGTGACTTAAAAGTTCTTATTACTTTCTCATTATAAGATTTTGGTTTTATCATTGTTCATAAATTATTGCAGAAGCTTACCTAAAGTTTACACTCTAGCTCCTGCATTACGAGCCGATCATTCACAAACTCGTCATCACTTGGCCGAATTTCGAATGTTAGAGGCAGAGTATGCTTTTGCTGATAGCTTGGAGCAGTTATGTGATTTTGTTGAGAGCTATATAAACTATGTAGTAGAAGGAATGCTTGGTCATTCTACAGAAGAATTAAATTCAGTGCTGCAAATATTTAGCAATGAGGTAAGGTCAGCTCTCATTAATCTATAAGTTCTAATTTCGCTACTTTGAATTACAATTTTATTCATTTTCAGAGTGCCAAAGTAAAGTCACTGCTATCTAGAAGTAGTTCAAGGACATCTTTTCCTCGGCTTAATTATGATGAAGCTATAGCTATACTTGAGTCTAAAGGAGAAAGGATATCTGCAGGACGGCTTAATAAAGAAAATGAACTATCTCTGGTTCAGCATTGTGGTGGTCCTTTATTTGTTCTTCGCTATCCTCACATACAGAAACCATTTTATATGAAGCGCTCTGGCAACTTTGTAAGATACTTCTTCGGATATTAAGATACTTCATGTTATTCATGTTATTTAAAAATGAGTGTTTGGTATTAAAAGAAAAGGTGTAACTCATGTGTTTATTTCTTTTAAACAACTTTTGAAGTTGAGTTTGGAATTTAAAAAAATTTTTAATACTTCAGCAGAAAAACAAATTTTATATATGGACAACCTTTTCATTATAGGCAGAATGCTTTGATTTGTTGGCACCACATGTTGGTGAGTTAGCCGGGGGATCTTTAAGGGAATCAGACCCAGAAGAACTTCGTGATCGAGGATGTGACGAATCACTGGATTGGTATTTAGACATAAGGGAACATGGACACCCTCCTAGTGCAGGATTCGGTATCGGCATGGAACGTTTCATGCAATCATTGTTTGGCATTCTTAACATTAAAGACACAGTTGCGTTTCCTCGATGGTATAAACATTGTCCTTGCTAATTTTAATGTTATCCATGTAATAGTTCAAAAAGTAATCGCTAAAGGAAGGTCGTTCATTCATACAGTAAATTTATTTCTTTAAAAATTTAAAGAAATCCTGCGTTTTTGAGTTTTGTAACAAAAAATGAGGTAAATGAACGAATTTATTCCTCTTTTTAAGAAGTTCGTTGTTCAAAGTTGTGTTTTTCTGTTTCAAATGGAACATACTGTTTGAACATCATATAATTTAAGTGTATTATTCTCTAAATATTGCAGCATGTCTTTATAGACAATCTTTGGCTTCATATTTCTTAGAATTGCATCAGAAATGTCTCTTTATGTTAAATGATAAATATTTTCTCTCTTTGTACAAGTGATCAGTATTTTCATTTGTTTACAAATTACTATTAAAATGGATATTTCACAGTCAGAACTATCTGAAGAATCATTTATTTAAAATCATTGCATTAAATGAACAGTCCTCTAAACTTTATTTTGCATGTTTACGAAACTGTTTGGTCATTTTACTTTGATTCAGAAATTTGATATAATTTGATATTTTGCCACTTTCTGATGCAATTAGAGATTGTTCTATTACGAGGCACCAAAAATGGTGAAGCAAAAAAATAGGTGAGTCAACAGTCAATGAATCATTTGGTCTGAAACTCTGAATATATTTATCTTTGCTTATTTATTTATATATTCATGTATTTTTTAAATATATTTTTTTAAAAATATTTAGATATATTCTAATGGACATTTTATTCGATGAGCAAGGAGGTGTTTTAATGGAAACACCAATCTATTTTGCTCTTTGCAACAAAATATCTATGCTTTTTGGCGATTATGGAATAGCAGCTGCAAGACTTTCTCTTAAAGTTAAAGTATGGTAAATATTCTACGAGTTAAATAATATGATATTTCTTTCAATATACTGAATAACGCTTGTATTAATTGGTTGTTTTCTAGGTTTTTGATCCAGGGACTGCAACAACTATTGTAAGAATTTCAAAAGACTTCCTGGAATGTCTGCTGAGTGCATTGCCATTTGTTAACAAAGTGGATAAAACACATGTTGTGCTTAAAGTTCTGTTTGTTGGTTTGTCTTTTCCTGCTTTGGTCAATTTTTAAGAGATCATTTGTTTCTTAATTTCGCATATTTCGATATTATCTTTAGCTTTTTACTTCATTTTATCAAAGAAGTATTTAATGTCTATTTAAAATGGTTGCAAAAAAATTTACTAAGCAAGATTAGTTTTTATTTGCTCTCGTCTTAGAAATCATATTTTCATGCCGAGAAAACTGAACATTTAAATATCTCAGTCGTAATTTAATTTTAGGGAATCAGTAAGCTTTATTGTTTCAAATGCATAAATGCAGCCTTCTTCGTAATATACAGCAATATAATTTTTTGCTTTATTTTCTGATTTTAGCTACCAAGTTTTTAGATCCTATACTGAAAAACAATTATTTAGGTTCATCAATTCGGTCTTGTCAACGAGCATTACTGAGAATAAATCGAAAGAAGTTGTATTCTAGTTATTTGTCCGCACAAACTGATGGTGAGAGAACATTTTTTTACAAAGACTGATTTGTTTTTATCAAAAAATCACTTATAGCACTTAGAGCAAGATACCTTTGAAGATATAAGGTTCTGCAACAGTTTTGTTATACCATTCATCTAATCTGTTGCGGAATGTATTCTGATTTTAAACATAGGACTTCTTTGAATTTTGCATAAATATTTTACGTATTTAGGAGAAAGAAAGGAAATACTGGACAGTATACGAAGCGTTACAGGAGACGTTAAATTTGAGAATAAGAGAGGGGATTAACTGGTAGAATTTAATTGGGAATGTTTTACACTATGCTAATTAATTATAGTCTTTCTCAAGATTTCAAAAGCATTCTTTCGCTCGTACTACTTTCTGTAAGTACGTTTTTAAAATTTATAAAACATGAAATTTTTCATTTGTATTTCAATTTTACCGTACTTTTATCGTTTGGCTCTTTTCATGGTGGAAAAAATAGTAGTGATCGTTTCCAATTTTCTTCTTATTTTCGTAGGTTTTAAAATTTGCTTTGCTGCTGCTCATTTCTAGAGAGTCGTAGTTACAGTTGCTTAAAGCTTACTTAAATTAGAGAATGTCAGCTGAAATTAATCTTACTATAAAACGTTATAATTTTCAATAAATAGCACTTTGGTATTTACAAAAAAAAAAGAAAAACCAGTAAAAATTATTGTCGCAAATTAGAGTATTCTGCTACTGGAAAAAGTTTTTTGGTTTTCTCTACTCTTTATTTCTTCAAAAGTTGACAGCACTTCAAAATTTTCTATCAGTTCCTTTTTGTTATCAACCACAAATTTTAATTGTTCTAGCACTTTTTTGAAATCCTTTTTTTCGAGCTTGTTATAATTTATTATTTGATTTACTCAACTGTGTTTTAAGTGTATCATCATTTTATTTATTATATTTTTATTATTTTGATTTACTCAACTGTGTTTTAAATGTTATAAATGTAGAGTGGTTTGTTCTTTCTTTGGTTTCTAAACGTTGAAATTGAGCAAAACAGGTTACAACCTGAATATATATAAGTATCTAAATACACATGATTTTTGCTCAAATATATGATTTCGTTTAGAAGTTATTTTTCAGTTTGAACTTGTTCCATTATATGGTGTATTGCTTCCATTAATTAGTTGCAGTTTGCGACTTATTTATGCATACAATATAGCATTTTTTTTTAGTTGTTACTTATTCGAATAAAGCACTTGATCCAAACTTTATCTTGCTACTGAGTGTTGCATTTTGCTACAGAATGTGTATGAATGTATGTATCAAAAAACATCAGTTATCGAGAAAATGTGTATGTAAATTTAAAATATCATTTGTTCCGTCATAGTAGATTGTTTCGAGGTGTAGATCAATATTTAATTGATGCAGTTAAGTCAATCAGATATTGTTTTATTAACGCAACAGTTCATCATTTATTATTCAGGAGCAACAGTCTGGGCACTAAATATTTTTATTAGGTACTGTGAATGAGAATTTAATGGAAAATGATAGGTCATATAATGATTCTATTTTTCAAGCTGCAGTTGATATAGCACAAAATATACCAAAAAAAGGTTAGTGCTTGATTTGAACAAAATGATCTTAGATTTTTTCGTAAGTTCAGAAAGACCTTACCATAGAAATGCGTCTCAAATAATGTGTTTGGCTAAACGTAGACTAGTTTTTGCTTTATGGATTTGCAATTATTTTCTTTTACTGCTCTACAATCCATCTTGTTTTTTGACTAATTTCACCGTATATTGTCAACTGACATTGAGTGTCCTACCACTGTTAATTTTCATTGTTAGCTTTATGCAGATTTCAGGTTTGATCAGTATATCTTTAAACGAGAAATTAGAACTTTATTCCTTATTTAAGCAAGGAACAGTTGGGGAATGTAATATTCCATGTCCGCCATTTTGGAATACTGCTGAACGTCTAAAATGGTATTTTACGTCTCTTTCTAATTTATATAAGATGAAATCTATATATTTTATTTAGTTGAAAAGATTCGAGAAATGCTATAAAAGTTTCAATTTTAGTTCATTAAATACTTCTCTGTCGCAAATTAGAGGGTTTTTTTTATGCATTCTTGGAATTCTTTGGGATCAATGAAATCTGTAGAAGCAAGAAAACTTTACATCAGACAGTTCAAAGGCATCATTAATCGTGGACTATGTGAATATGATTTTAAAGAGCTATTAAAAAGAAGCGACGAACGTACAAAACAGTTATTGAGAGTGAAATTGCCTATTCTTGGATATGGTACACATGTGTTCTTAAAACATCTTAATTTTTGTCTGGTTAATATTAGATTTAAATAGAACAAAGTAATATCATTATTCGTAAAGGACGATCAAACGAACTGCCAGTTATACATTATGATTCTATCTTGTTTTATTTTCGCTCACAGCAATTTTTTTCTGTGCTGTACTCGTTACTTCATATTTTGACTACATAATCATTCTTTTGCAAATGTTTGAGTGGTACTGATTCATAATTAAGAAATTACAGATCTATCTGGTTTGAAATCCGATAGGAATACAAATGGCATAGAAGAGCAGTTATGTAGTAATAGTGAAGAGATTTCTGGCATTGTGGAACATATTGTAAGCTCAATAAAATGCTTTAAATCTTTTTATTGCCTTAACTTTACTGATGTAATTTATTGTATATTTAAAGTTATTTGATGTTCATATTTCAAACCGTATATTTATAGTTTACTCAGGGAAACAATGCATTTGCTAGTTAAAAAATTATTCTTCATTTTTCTGCTCAACTCATAATGGAAGTTATACTGATTTTATGCGCGATACAAATAACTCTCAAGAAATCAGATCGCATCTTTCAATTTTAGTTCGCAAGTAGTTTTTGTAGAGTCGATCAGAAATGGATGAGCAATCTGATCGATATTCAGTGTCAAGCACATATAGCGATGAATTCTTTGATGCCTCTTGCGATCAAGTAGGATATATATTCCCTTAATTTTTTCGTTCATTGACCATCACAGCGATGCTTCTTAAAGTATATTTCGTTTCAATTTACTTTTTGTTTTATCACGATTTTGCGAATAGAAATATGTGGTAGTTTTCTTATGTTGTTAATTTATACAAAATTTTTTAGGAGCCGCAATTTCGCTGTGTAGAAAATTCAACCAATCAAATGTAAGTATGGTTGTGTATTATCCAAATTTGCTTCCATTTAATATTTTTACTTCTTTTTAAAACTGAATTCAGGTATTGTCTATTTTATTATTTTGAAGTTATATTTATTTGATTTTATTTTAAAAAAAAACATTTACATGTATTATTTGACTTTAGTACACATGTGAAAAGAAATTATTTTTTTACATTCCAGAGTAAATTCTTAGTGTTTCAGTTTAGTTGTAGATCTAGAGTTTAAAAAAATTGGAATGAATTATTTAAGAAGTGTAAGAGTTATGATCAAACAAGCGAATGGATAGTTTTCTACACTTAGTTATCTAGCTAGTAAATTTAAGACGGAAGAGAAAGGAAATCTCTCATCTGTCATTAATAAATCTATCGCTGTCGTTAGCAACTATGTTAGTATCTTTAAAGGTCTGTGCTTTAAATTATGTTTCAAGACTTGATCAATCCGATTTTAGGATTAATCAAATCTCCAGCCCACTCAACTCTCCTTCCAGGATCGGTAATATCGGTATGCTACTGGCAACGCGACATCATTTGTCAGTACTGGTAGATTTGATAACATATTTGAAACGATTGTTTACAAAGAATTTGTCGTACTTGAAAAATTTGAGCAAACAGTGGTACTGGATTATTTTCTTTGTAGTCTGGCCATTTATAGCCAATTTTATTATGACTTACTTACATAGGTAAAAGATGCATTTTTGGAAATCTAAAAAAATTTTTCGTTTGAAGTGCATGAAAAGAGCAATCAAACAGCCCATTGTTCATTGTTGACTTTTTTAAGTGGACGCAATTATTTATTCGTTCACTTAAAAATTAAGTAAAGAATTGTGTAATGATTGTTCTTTTCGTCATGATTTTGGTAAGGAAGAAGTATTCATGTCGTCGTAGTCTTTGTTTTCGAAGAACTTTATTGCGACTCACGATGACTGATTCGCTCGTTCATTTATGATATGACTGAAAAATGAAATCATGCTTGTTCTGAAAGCATCAAATAATGCAAGTGCCAAAAAATAAATTGTATAAATTGACGGCACAGTTGACCTTTGCATATTCGCTAAAGCAAATCATTCATCATAGCAAGCATAGCTTCTAAACGATTAACATGTTTAAAGAAAAATATCCTTATTCATTAAATTTCTGTGATTCTCTTTGTCTTGCCACCGAGAGATTAAACTTTTTCTAGTTAAGCCATAAATCAAGCTTCAAAAAGGTGATTCAAATTGTTTGTCATCGTTACTCACGTAAATTGCGATACTGTTAATGTGTTGTTCAATTAGTCTCTCATTGCAAAGATTTACAAAGCTGGAAAAGATATCACTAATGTTTGAACTATTTTGAAATCGAGATGAAATGCGGGAGCAAATTTATTTAGATTTTACTACATTCATATTGTAATAAATATTGAAGTGACGGCGTGAAAATCATTTTTTAGTGGGTCTAATGTGCGACACTTCTAGAATTATATCATTATGTGATTATGGGAGCTCAGAAGATTTTCACTGTGGCCTCTTCTTTCACTGCGAGTTTAAAATGTGAGAAAAGTAAACGCGGGTTATTTTACTACTTTTTAATAATATTAATATTACTAGATTTGTGAATAAATAATTGGTGTGGTGGCGTATTGGGTCTATAAAAAGCAATTTATCTATACGGTCAGATGTAATTTCGACACAATTTTGTTTTTTGAAGTATTCATATTGGTAGCAGTAATATTCATTGCTAATCATTACAAGTAATTTGGATTGTCAATCAACAGTTTTTCTCACTTAAGACTTCTCAGCTTATGTTTGTAGTTCAAAATATGATGGCATCGAATCATGACGAAGCTGACAGTACACATGCAGCGAGTAAAGATGATATTAGAGGTAAGAAGATAAGTTGTAGTTTACCTTTTAACGAAAAAATGATAATTGTGAAAAAAGAAGCAGTTTCTTAAAGTTTTGGACATGTGGTTTATATTAGAGTAGTTGAAGAATGAGAGGATTAGTTTTAAGACAAATACGCGCTTGATTTCCTGTATTTTTTGTTGTTTTAGATAATAATCGATGAAATATTGTTTTATTTTTGCAGTTTCAGCGCAACTTTTGTTGCCTGAAATTGAAAACTTGGAAAAATTACAAGAATCTGTTGGAATGATGGTATTAGATGTCGTCGAGAAGCGATTGACGTATCCTTCAATGATTGCTTCATATGTTGCTCAAGAAAATCAGTGCAGTTTGGACAGGCTAGTAAGTTATTGTACGTAACAAAAGCATATTTAATCCTGAAATTAATAAGTTGTTTTTGTTTAAATGTGACTTACGTAGTGTAAAGTTACGTCAACTTTTCAATACGATGAATTATTGAAATTATTTTTACTTAACTTAATAAAAATTAATCGTGTAATAAATGGAAATATTCGCTTAAGGTACTCTATTTCTTAAAGAAAAGCAAAGCAATAAACCAAAAATATTCACAAGGTTTGAACTAAATTCTATTTATAGCACTCTTATTAATGCTGTATAATTAGGAAAATGCCGAAATTTCGTGGGAATCAAAGATTACTCTAGACAAAGATATTGATAATATGTTTGAAATGATTGAAGAGATCAGAGCAAAAAAGACTGAAAACAGTGCTCTCTTCCTCGAAATTGAAGAGGTAATTTCATTTCACTCATAATAGTATATTCTTCAATCAAACGTATTGTCAATATTCATAAGTTTATTCATTTTTAATTTAGGTAAAAAAACAAATCAACGAACTTCGAAAAACAGCGAATACGAATAATGATTTTATACACAGTGTTTTATGATAATTATTATTCGAAATTTCACTGTTTTTAATTAGAACTGTCATGTCATTAAAACTGATTTTCAATTTTCATTTTCGTTAACAAAGTCTATCAGGACCAAGTTTGTAATTCTGTGTCAGGCAATGCCAATTTTCATCATGCTTATTTACAATCGTTTTTTGAAATCATATGAATTCAGTGTTTTTCATTTAACAACAAATATGACTTCGTCTAATCACTATGTTATGAATGTATTTGTTGAAGGAAATATTACTGTAGCATGTAGTTGCACTCACATTTCGTGTGCAACCTTTAATATCAGTTATTGTTGTTTTGAGAATGCATATTATCTGACCCATACAGAATTACTATTACATTGTATTTCAAACTTCAACAAAGATTAAATTAGAGTTGGTTAGATAATGATATGCATTAAAATTGCTTAATTTTGAGCACATTATTCTGCAGTACTTTGTTATAAGCTCCCATTTAGGTTTATTTTTTGAGTGTATGTATCGTTTTGTTTCTGAAAATAAAATGTATATGACATTATTTAGGAAGCTACTTGTATTTGTGATCGGAAGCAAATCAGAAGCTCTATGCAGAAGATTTTTGTATTTAACGATACTTCTTTATAAATTATTCGTTTAGTTATTTATCTTAGTCTTGAAATTGCGTACTTAGAACTGAGCACATTTCTCAGTGTTCGTATTTACCGCCATGATGAATTCCTGTTTCAGGCTCTGCTATAGGAAGTTAGTCACTGATCTTCGATTTATTTACATGATGTGTGAAATTCTGTGGGTGTTCCAACCACATTTTGTCACAGTCTTATTTTTGTGCAATGCGTAGACAGTATTTCTGTTCACGTGCACCTTTTATTCTAACTTTTAAATTTTAAAGAAATGTTCTCACCAGCATTTCAGTTGTTGTGTCATATTAAGAGAAGGGGACAAAATCAGTGGGCGAAATGTCAGGAAATTCAAAAGATCGTATTGCAGTATTTCCATCTCGAATGTTTGTTTTATTATTTTTATGTTATTGTAGCCATCATTCTAATACGGAATTTCGGACTTCAGTAATGGTAAATCTATGATTTTTTGTATGCATTATTTCGTAGTTGTAATGTCAAGTTAAATCTGTTGATTTGAGACTGGAAACGACAAATTTATGGAGACGAAAGTTTTGTACCTTTTCGAGAATAATTTTGACTCACTTTCTCTATTATCAAGTAATAAATAAAAAAGTTTGAGCGTGTACACAAATATTAGAATTAATCAAGAAAGAAAATATTAGGTAATGTATTCGTACTTCTCTTGAAGCTGTGGTTCAGTATTTCATTAGTTCTTTCGAAGACTGTGTTTTCGAAAGAGGGTCGGTCATTGTATTTTGAATGACATTCGTAATTTGTAAATGAAAATTACTTTTATTCAGGGCTCAGACGGTAATGAAAACTCGATTAAGAGCTGCTCAAAAAGGTCATAGCCTGCTGAAGAAAAAAGCTGATGCTTTGAATGTGCGTTTTCGTTCAATTTTAGGAAAAATTGTAGAGGTAACTTTTTCCTGCAATTCTGTATTGCAATTTTACTTGTATTAGATGGAAAAATTTTGTACATTTTCAGTTGCATAAAATTCGAAACCTTGATTTTTCTTTGATCCGTATTTTAATCTTTTTTGATCATTTGCTTACATAATTATTTCTTAGACAGATGAATACAAATCAAATTTAAGCTGCTTTCAGAATAAAAACTTGATGGGTCAAGTTTTGCGTGAGGCAAGTTTTTCTTTGGCAGAAGCTAAATTCACTGCTGGAGATTTTTCTCATATCGTCATCCAGAACGTTTCTCGTGCCCAACATCGTGTTAGAATGAAAAAGGAAAATGTAGTCGGTGAGTGTTTATAAGCATATTATCACTAATCGTATTATTTGGGCATATTTCTTTCATTTATCATCAAAATAGTCCTTAATGCATTACAACATATTCAATTAATAAATCTTCCGTAAAAAGGAGGTAGAATATTAAAATGTCATTGTGATGCTGTTTTATTATTCTGCTGTCAAAATTCAATTTTTCCTTTTGATGAACATAGAGAAACGAGTTTGTTTCACACATCTATGTGATATAATTCAAAGTCGGAAATATTAAAACAGTCAATAATAAATCTTCCTAGTAGAGGATGTTCAGTTTCATCCAGTTAAAAGCAACTTTCAGGTGTATTTCTACCTGTTTTTGACCCATATACTGATGGGCCAGATACTTATGACTTGACTGGTCTTGGTAAAGGTGGTGCAAATATTGCGAAGTTAAAAAAAAATTACAATCATGCTGTTGAACTACTTGTTGAATTAGCAACACTGCAAACATGTTTTATAACTCTTGACGAAGCTATTAAAATTACTAACCGACGTGTTAATGCTATCGAACATGGTTTGTCGTTCTTTACCACAATCGATCATTAAATCTATCAAATCGTCTGTTTTCGTTAGCTATTCGCGTTTCATCTTTTTGGAGTTTTGTCCTCCGTCATTTCGTTATGTGAGTTTTTGATTGAGTATATCTTTGCAGTAATTATACCAAGAATTGAGAACACACTCCAGTATATCGTCACTGAACTAGATGAAATGGAGCGTGAAGAATTCTTCAGGTTGATATTGTATATTCCTTTTGAGTCATGCTTGAGTGTATTCTTCTGATGTAAGTAGAATGTTATAGCAAATATAGGTTTTGCTTTTTCATTTTTAGGTTTTGAATGATTTGGTATTTCAGAATTTACTATTGTTTTTTTTACAGCTCACAATTAGCAGTAATATTTTAACAACTTATTCTGTTACTTCTAAAGTCACACCCATTTTTTACGTACAGGATGAAGAAAATACAAGCAAAGAAGAAAAAAGACCGTGCTGAAACCGAAAATTTGATTGCTGAATCTAGGAGAAAAATGGACGCAAATGATATGCACTACGACAATTATCCACGGAATATTCTTGAACAAGATGATGACATTCCAATTTTGTTTGCATAGTTATTTGTAAACTTTTAAATTGATAATCGCAAATATGTTGAAATATGGGGCGTAAGAGAAACCACTACGTTCTTTAAGATCAAAATGACTCTATGAAATTTAAAAGTATATGTTTCTCTCAATAATGCTTCCATTTGCTCCTACATTCCTTGCCGGTATCGTAACATGGAGTCTCCTTACAATGAAAGTAGATCTTTTGTAGATGCTATTTTGCTTGGATATCACTAGATATAATAAACCTTTTAGCTTCGAAATTTCAATTACTTCCCGTTTATGGTTATTGAGTTTTATTATCTTGGTGTATCGTCGTCTCCACGAACATTACTGGAATTTTTAGTTGGTAAGCTTCCTTAAGATATAGTAGCAAACTATCGTTATTTGTTACTCAATTTCCAAAGATTTTGTACAAACTTGTGGCAACTTCTACCCTTGTTAATTAGTTTAGCTAGTCAGTGTTACCCATATAATACAGTCTTGGTAACTTATTACTTGGTCTCTCCCTCGATGGTTGTAATAATGCTTACACTTTCCATATGTTCGAGGTTTATTACTTGATACTTTATATTTTGAGGATTATATATTACGATGTATTATACTAAAATATGGGCACTATTATTGCGCCTCAGTTAACTATCAGTTATAGATTTCAAAATGCAATATAATGCGAATATATCAGATTTATGAAAACAAGCAGGAATATATTTTCACCTTCAGTTCCTTAGAATAATGATCTCAAGTTCCTATCAAAAAGTTCGTTTAATCTACTAGTGAGATATTTCATATGCACCTTCTTGCATTAATTCCATGGTGGGAATGTGGCGGGATTGAAAGGAGGAATCATTCAATAATTCCCTATTTTCCGCAACATAACTTAGTGGCTGGACTTGGTGAAATATAGTTTTTAGCCAAATATCTCATGGACTACACAGTCACCATTGGTAGCATGCAGGTGGATGACCTAATGTTAGGAAAATATCAGCAATCGGGAGTAAATATGGGTCTGTTGCCATATTCAGAATATGGAAGAACTGTTCCGACCCAAGGAATTTGATGACATTAATATAAGTTTATTGTAATGGATGAAAAAACTGATTAAAATGTCGAATATACAAACAATATATCCCTTAGATTACGGACATTCCCATGCTAAAATAGTTTCTAGCAGTCTTTAAAAGTCTACATGTATACTTTCTCATGTAGAAAGTCATGTCTGCAAGGAACTATATTTAAAGATTGCCCATTCCAAAATCTGAGATATCTCAGAATAAATTTGAGGTGCATCAGTCATGAGTACTGAGCCAAATCAATGCATCCATAGGTAAGAAATGTAAAGATCATTTTTTCATATATTAATGACCTGCATTCTTGCTTAGGTGGGCATTACTTGAACGGTCGAATATTTTTCGCATTTCTTGTTTCAGTTTCATCATCATTGGTAACGGTATACAAAAAGCAAAGCGTTCCAAGCTTTCGACCATATTTCTACAAAACAAAGGAAGAGTACGCAGTTACTTTAGTAGCTTTTTTAATCTCCAAAAACCTATCGTTCAGTCAATCTCAAATGCAAAAAAAAATAAATAGTAAAATCTATCCCCTCTAAATATATTATTTTGATCTTAAATTTATGTGTTATTACCTAGTGAAAACTAAACAAATCTCATAAATTATTGAATTAGACAATATAATAACCACAAAGGTAAAATGTAAAAGTACTTTTAAATTGAATAAACTATTTTTTGACGTATCATGAAATAAGAACGGAACTGATATGTGAAATTGTCCACAAACATTGAGCAACACAACCAATGAACAGGATAAAATAACAACAAAATTTATTTGATAGAACTGGACTACAGAAGCTTAAGTAAAGAATAAAAAAAAGATACTAACAAAAGCTTTTCTGCACTGGCAATTTCAATAGCATCGGTCAGCAACATCATGTATATTTTTCCAGTCGTTCGCGTAGTGAGTCGATTTTCAACCAGCCATTTTCGATCCATTTCATCACCACAATACTTTAAACCAAAAACATTTAAGAAAAATAAGACAACTAAAATACTGTGATTTTCATAGCTTTAAGCATTTTCCTACTTCACTCTCATTACCACAGATAATTAAACAGATTACTAAACAACAACGTAAATTACATTCTTAAAACAACCTCGTTCATAAATCAATCACTATAAAAACTTGTTGAATACGATATATAGTGAAGAATTATATAAAACTTGTTGTGGATTTCTGTCTTTCTGGATATTAGAGACGTAATCATTAAAAATGATCGACAAAACCAGAAAGCGTACAAATTTTTAAAAAAATTCTTGGATAAATTTTAGCAATATAAATTAGTGGATGAATACCCGAAAAACAGAAGGATACTTCATAAATATCTTTCGATGGCTGAGTAACATCAACACTCGAGAAACTTTCGAAAGCAAAATAAACTGAGATGATGAACACACCCGATTAGGATTCCACTACAAAAAGGATTAAATACATTTAGAACTCTAAAACAAAAATTGAACTGAAAAAAGGATCTTGACCAGTTTCAGACTAACCTATTGCTTATTGATTTGATGATAGCAGAATATCTATCATCCATGCATCAAAATTACATTACTTGGCAAATTTTCGGTAATTCTATTTGAATACAAAGTACATGAAGTTGATGAAGGAAAATGAAGTCGAGAACTAAATTTCTTTACTTATCAACATTACTTGAGTAATAGCCAAAATCAATTACCTTACTTAAATCTAATTCACGAGTCATTTCGCTAGCATGGCAAGACGGTGATATGATTCTGCCCGGATTGTTAGTCTGAAAAATCTAATGAATAAATATTGAAAGATCAAGAGGCAATTTTTAGTTCAAAACCAAATTTAGTTGGATTTGCAACGCTTATGGATTAAAATTACAACGCAATGCATATTATTAGCAATTTGACTCAATTACAAGTTGTATAAAGTAAAATAAAAAGGAAAAAACAAGGCAAAGAACGAAGCATTTTCTAAACATAGAGCGAATCCTACTTTTGGGGGTCGACCACGTTTCCTTCCACGTGGCGGTACAGCTGATGGTTGATGTACCAAGAAATTTTGTACACTTGCTTCACTATCTATATCCGATTCTGTACTAAATATAAAACTGAAAAAATTTAGCAAAATAAACATTATTTGACTAACGTCCTCACTTATTTTGAGACATTTAAAATTCTTTTTTTTTCTTTTCTTAAAACAGCGATTTTACAATCAGCAGCAAATTTAGAGCAAATTTAGAAAAGTATACTATATTTTCTTTACTATTTTAAAAATCTTTTCGACCAACAAAAATGAAAAAAAAGCGAATAAAATTATACTTTGAATACTCGGAACCGGCTTCTGCAATACCGTCTGCTTGTTCTTCACACAAATATGGCTTTTTAGCTGCTTCAAGCATACTACGACATAAGCTTCTAATATCATCTTCTGTTATTTCCTGAATGTGAAATGAAATTTGCACATCTGTTGTCTGTTCGTGAAAAATAAAAACAATAAATATTTATGAAATAAAATTCGGTTTGAAAAACATATCAAAGAGATGATAATCCTAACAAGAGATCAATCTGTAACTTGGATAAAAAAGTAAAAATTAAATTATGGTACAAACCAATCCATTCCTGCGAAGATTTTCTAATGCAGGAGAGAAGGTAGTTCTTAAATGTCTTTCAATAATTTGCCGTAACTCATCGGTAACTTCTGATTCGAAAACCTATAAATTGCAATGTTAATTTTCGTCCATTTTACTATCAAATAATGCTTGTTATTGACGATAAGTAAGAATTATTTCAAAATCTTTGCAGTGCATTTGTACGAAATAATGAAATCACTTCATTCATCTTTCTCTACCCACATATCAGTTCCTTTTGTACTTTATGAATGCTTCGACATTCCCTCAAAAATTACTTTTATTTTTTCCTGACTGAAGTAAGACTTAAGTCATTATTTTTGACTCGAGAATAATCTACTTTTAAGTCAAATCGAATCAATTAAAACAAAATTAATATATGTTCAAACACAAGACTCAATAGCTCGAAGAACGAAGAACGATATACAAATCTTGATGAAATTACTCTTCGCATCAAATCGAGTGAACGAAAAGCATCACTGGCCATATCTGTTTTATTTCGAACAACTGTTTGTTTCAACGAGTTTATTTTTGCATTCTTGCCTTCACCCATTGAAGCTAGTAATCCTTCAAGAATTTCAATTCGTAAATTTAACTTGTTGCCATTACCATTCCCAGTACTGGAACCTCCAAACATGCTGCAAGGAAATATAAAGTCGAGAAATCTGTAACAAATTTTTACATTATGTTTGCATTTTCTTAATAGCAATGAAAGTTGAATTTCAAGAAATTCTCTCTTAAATGTTTGTATACAGTATGTTGCATAACTAAAAGTAATGTTTACATATAAGTTTCTGCGCACTATTCATTTCTTATATGAATAAACACATGCATGTAAAATACAAAATGCGAAAGTAATGTAAATAAGCACTACAACAGTTCAAAACTTACAATCCCCTACATTCTTGGATTCTCCATCTAGCACCCACTCTAAGACAAGTTTATTTAACAACCACAGCGAGCTCTCACTAACTAAAAATTCATCTAGAGCCCCTCTTCTACTGAAGTTAGGCTTCAGAAGAAAAACGATCCGAACAATGCATATTACTCTTTTGCTTGTTACTCAACATTATTAGCAATTTGAACATGAACCACTGGAAGCAAATTTAATTTAATGGATAGGAAACTAAATTCTTCTATTTCCAACGTCTTTCTTCATTATCTAGCATCTTTAAAACGTTGTTCTGAGATGATCTCGAAGAAATTTTACTAAATTATAACTGTGATGTTACAACGCTAATTTCATGTGTTCCTGGTTTCATCGGAATCTTTCAGTGCTGTTTTTGGTTCATACTCGAACTGCCAACTTCAATATTTGCTATTCTGTATATTTTTATCTCAGTATTAATGTATTGCGATTTATGATTACTACTTTGATTGCTACAGTGTCATATTTATTTCTGTTTCAATCCTGAGACTCACTTCTTTGTAGTAAAAAACCATCACATCTGCTTTTATTTTTGTACTTTAACAATCTATTTTATTATTTTGCATTGAAATTTATACAACTATACATCTTTAACATGTTACTAAGATGTAATGCATGATTACACAGAAGTACTGTTTTGCTTTCTGACCTATTTGACGTCATAACTGTGTTCTGAAATATTAAAATAATTGGAGAGTTGTTTAATTATTTGTCTGTTTGACTGTAAATTAGATAATTATTTAAATTAACTGTAATCCTTAGTTATCTCTTTGATGTATTTACGTATTTTTTTACTAAAATATGAAAGACCAAATCTTTTTCATGGCACATTCTATCGACTTATTATCCTTCTCCAGTAGCTCATATTTTCTGTCTTTGCTTAATTATTGGTATGGATATAGTTTTTTCTTTTCTTTTGTTTCCTAGTGAAGATTTGTCTGATAAAGAAAATAGGTCAAATAGATATGAGAAGCATAAAATACCGTAAAGTCAAAACGACATAAGTGTCTAAAATTGAGACGCATGCAAGCACATGTATAGGAATGAAAATCCTTTTGTGATATTTATAAAGACAGAGCTAATTACAAGTGTCGATAAAGTATGAATTTAAGAATTTTCAATTTTCGTACCTTTTCTCATCATATTTTTTCTTATGTGTATTAAATTTTAAAGAATCGGAATCATCCACATTTTTACTCATTTTCTGCTTTTTTTCATCTTCTTTCTTTGAATCGTCTTCATCCTGTTTAATTTCAGGCCGTATAATTTTTGATTTCAGTCGATCTTTTAATTCATCTGAATCAATTTTTGGTCCAGTATTTTCCTCTTGCACTAAAATAGTACAAAAATATGAGTAATGAATTTAGTTTTGATAAAAACAATCACTTTAGTTAATAGTTAAGTTTTCTGAAAAAGTCTGCATACTTGTGCAGTTTGTGAAATTTGCTATTATTTTTAAGTATTTGTAAGTTAGAAGATAATTTAGAGCGCGTAATTTGGTTTTTCATAGTTTTCATAAGTCGATTTCACTTTTTTATATGAATATTGAATATTTCAGATGATGTGTATAAAGTGTTCTTGTCAGGTGATTACATTGAAAGCACTCACATTCTTCTTCTTCGCTTTTGCTCAGTTGTGGGGAAAGTTTCTTTTTTAGTGAATTTTCTTCAGACTGTGTTTTCTCGTCCTTTTCACCTGCATCATCATTGAGTATTTTATGAACAAGCATAATTTCATCCACAGTTACTAAATGTTCATCTTTTTCCTTCTCTTTTGAAGATCTTTTCTCACCGTCAGCATTTTCATCTTCCTCAATCATTTTTAATTTCAGAAGCTCTTCTGTGGGCACCATGATTCCTTTTTTCCTGTTCTTGGCTTTTCTTCGATTCACGCGATATTGCGCTTCTTCTTCATCACTTAATTCGTCACGTATTTCCTCTTCTTTATGAGAACGCTTTCTTTTGCCTCGTTTTATAGGCTCTATTTTTACTGCAGCTACTAAGGAGTTAATTATATTATTGCATATAATTTGCATGCACAATGAATTACAATTTCAGTTATTCTCAAAACGATAATATGTAGTAATAATAATATCTAAGGATAGTAATAATAATTCATAATAACAATAAATGCACTCTTTCCTTCACTAATTTTTTTGATCATTTCAATTTGAAACAGAATACAAACTGTTCGAAGTATAATAACCAAACAAACCATTGTCATCCTCCCAATCGCTTGACACATCGTCCATAGTCGCATAATCTTTACGACCAGCTCTTCTTCCTCTCGCAATTCTTTTCTACAGAATTTTTTTCATAAAACTTTCATTAATTTATAAATTGTAATTATTGAAGCCATTTAGCAATGGAAGGGAAGAAGCGCAGTAATATAGGGTGCATGATTGAAAATATGGAAAACATTGTAACATTCACTCACATCTGTTGCAAATAACTTATCTGAAATTGGCCTTTTAAACAGTTATGGTGATTGCTTTGGTCTGTACTTCGCAAAGTCAACTTTACTATGTTCATACGCTATCAGTACAGTACGGGACTGTTAACTTTTTAATCTCTATCTCAGCTTAATAACTTGATAGCAGTAGGTAATTTGGTGATGTATGAGAGAAATTAATCATGCTAATATAACATTTGGAACATCTTATTACTAAAAATTTAAGAAAAATCTCATATTTGGAAAAAAAATGTGAGACCTTATATCACGCATGTTTTGTCTTCCTCATTATCAACCGTCACTCACTCTGTGTTTTTGAGATTTTACAGTAAATTAAAAGAAAAAAGCAGTTCACACTACTTCACGGAAGACAATCAACGTGCTACAAAGCGTGTTTGTTGATTATATATATTTACATAGGGAGTATTTCTCATTTTATATCTTTTCTTGTTTTATATAGTTTATCTTTTTGATATTAAATTTGAATAATTTTAAAAGCGAAGTTTAATCCACACTTACTTCTTTTTCACCTTTTTCAAAAGTTTTTGGCCTCAGTGCTCCTGGTCCTACTATTGCGCTATCATCCTCTTTGTTTTTTTCTGTACAATAATAAAATGCTTTTATTAAGTAATATCAAGCAAATTTTGTAAATACATGCCTTATAAAATCAATTTTTATTGATTAGATATAAAATATTTTCGCAAATTTTATGTCACTTTTCGGTCTCACAACAAAAATAGCTCAAAAAAGCCAGTTTTGTTTGAAAATTAGATATTCAGAATTTTCCTACACAATTTATTGGCAAGTTAATTTCATTACAGTGTAATGGTCTTTCTCTCAATTTCTTTCTGGCAGTTAATTTTTGTCAGATTCACTTTAAAGCTCTTTTTTACTATTTGTATAAGCGATTTATTTTTTCACACAAGACATTTTCACTCCATTTTTTCATTTATTTAAATTTCAAATTTTGACCAAGTTTTTCGTCACCAAATTCTAAATTATCGTAGTCTGAAATTGCCGTTTTCCGAATATTTCTTTCACGAACTTTATGCTTCATTCGTTCTATCTCTTTCAGCAAACTATCTTTGTTATCATTTCCCTCAGCTTGTACTGCTGCTTTTTGCCCCTTTCCTTTCGCATCTAAACTTTCATTCTAAATAATAATTTGTAAATTTTGTGAAATAAATACCAGTAATATAAATTACTTGTATTTTTTTATTAGAAACTTTGCTTATGAAATTTTTTTGTCTAAATTATAAAGAACGCTAACAGCAAAAAGGCTGCATCTAGTTCTTAAAGTTAGTTGTAATCAGATTATAATTCAAGTATTGAAAACTTTTTTCAGCGATAGCGCGTCGAAGATCCAAATTTGTATAGTAACTGTGTTTCCGTAAGTTCGCTTTCGATGGCTGTATTTGGCTTTTATTCAAATCTTCTTGCTTTACTCGCTGTTTGCGATGCTTTCTGAAGACAGATTTCCCAAAAAGTTTCATTCCTTAGTCATAGTGCAATGACGGTATTATTTTCTATCTTTTTTAACAAAATGCTTTACTAAATTTATGCAAATTTTTAGAGTGCATTACTTAATAGTACAAAGTTTTATTAGTATTTATAAAATATTAATATTTCATTTATTGGAATCAGTAGGTAATTCGATCATTTAGTTTCTTCTTAGTAATCGAGATTATGTGCATAGAAGATATTCTATAATTATTGGCACAAATATCAATTGCTTAATATTAAGATGTAAGATATCTGAAAATTTTCAGCAAATTACTCAGTAATCTGCAAGGAATTGTTTTGTAAAAGAAAGCATTCTGTTTGGAACTTAATAAAATGCATCATAACTTACGGACGATGTTGCTGTTGTAAATAATTAACCTGAAAATATATGTTAGTAGTTACTGTTTATTTGGTAAAAAATATAACTAAATGTACTTAAGCTAAAAAGTTTTAGTCTTACGACAACTTTTGCACAAATTTATTTTTTGGGAAATTCCATGCAAAAGATTCTCGAGTATTTTATTACCTTGAGAATTAATTTTTACAGTTATTGCT